CTTTCTCTCCCTCCCCTGTCAGCGTCCTACTGGGAGATACATGACCATCCTTGAACCCCTGTCTGAGCTGCCCACCCCTCCCACCTTCCTCTCCCTACCCCACCCCTACTCCGTTTCTCGTGATGGCCCCCCACTTCGTTGACATCAACCTGGATGATGACGACACCCCTGACCCAGTCCCCAGTTCGAGTCTCTCCTGTCACGTGTGTCTGGATTTTTGAGGAGAGTGTTCCGTGTGAAGATGGACGCTTAGAGTGACATCTTGGAATTGTTTTGTATTCTTGAGGAGTGTGTTTAAGATGGACGCTTAGAGTGACATCTTGCAATTGTTGGATTCTTGAAGAGTGTGTTTAAGATGGACGCTTAGAGTGACATCTTGGAAATGTTTGTATTCTTGAAGAGTGTGTTTAAGATGGACGCTTAGAGTGACATCTTGCAATTGTTTGGATTCTTGAAGAGTGTGTTTAAGATGGACGCTTAGAGTGACATCTTGGAAATGTTTGGATTCTTGAAGAGTGTGTTTAAGATGGACGCTTAGAGTGACATCTTACAATTGTTTGGATTCTTCTTGAAGAGTGTGTTTAAGATGGAGCGCTTAGAGGACATCTTAGGAAATGTTTGGATTCTTGAAGAGTGTGTTTAAGATGGACTTAGAGTGACATCTTGCAACTGTTTGTATTCTTGAAGAGTGTGTTTAAGATGGACGCTTAGGAGTGACATCTTGCAATTGTTTGGATTTTGAGGAGGTGTGTTTAAGATGGACGCTTAGAGTGACATCTTGCAATTGTTTGGATTCTTGAGGAGTGTGTTTAAGATGGACGCTTAGAGTGACATCTTGCAATTGTTTGTATTCTTGAGGAGTGTGTTTAAGATGGACGCTTAGAGTGACATCTTGCAATTGTTTGGATTCTTGAGGAGTGTGTTTAAGATGGACGCTTAGAGTGACATCTTGCAATTGTTTGGATTCTTGAGGAGTGTGTTTAAGATGGACGCTTAGAGTGACATCTTGCAACTGTTTGGATTCTTGAGGAGTGTGTTTAAGATGGACGCTTAGAGTGACATCGTGCGTGACTGTTTGATTCTTGAGGAGTGTGTTTAAGATGGACGCTTCTTGAGTGACATCTTGTGACTGTTTGGATTCTTGAGGAGTGTGTTTAAGATGGACGCTTAGAGTGACATCTTGTGACTGTTTGGATTTTGAGGAGTGTGTTTTAAGATGGACGCTTAGAGTGACATCTTGTGACTGTTTGTATTCTTTGAGGAGTGTGTTTAAGATGGACGCTTTGGAGTGACATCTTGCAATTGTTTGATTCCTGAGGAGTGTGTTTTAAGATGGACGCCTTAGAGTGACATCTTGTGACTGTTTGGATTCTTGAGGAGTGTGTTTAAGATGGACGCTTAGAGTGACATCTTACAGTTGTTTGGATTCTTGAGGAAGTGTGTTTAAGATGGACACATCGAGTGACATCTTGCCACCTTGGAATAATAATTAATTGCATTGAATCCTAAATACAATATGTTTGGTGACTTTCTACGTTTTGGACCTTTTTGGACGTTTTTTCGGACCTTTCGGGATATTTGGTGGTTTTGGGATTATTCATCGATAAAAGCTCTTTGTATCATAAAAGACTATATTTCCTTGTTTATTTTGGCTTTTTCGGACAAGATTTAAGTCCAGTTTTTAAATATTTATTTGGCTCTTATGAGTATGAACTATTAAATATTGCTTTTTACTTTCTAGCTGATTTGTCTTGTTTTGTTTTTGTTTTGATTGCGCGTGCGCGTGTAGTAGTATTGAGTAGTAGTGTGTAGTGTGTGAGTAGTTACTTTTTATTCCAGCAATATCACACGAGAAATGGGCCCTCACACATTGTAAACCGTGTCTTCAGTATGAGGCGTGCACACACTATAATGACTAGGTCATCTCACCGACCCCTGCTAGGTTAAGCAATGCCACTGCACTTCTACGACAAATCCGTTCATCTATCACATAACCGAACTGTAGTCCTACAATCTGAGTAGTTGGTCCTATGTCCTAGATGCCCTCTGCTACGTGTTAGTGAGGGAGTGTGGTTTTGTCCCCGTTCTTAGAGTCAGCTATTGGTACCATACCAGGACGATGTGTACGAATACAATACTGGCAATGGCCGATACTGTAGTCTCCTTGAATATGTTTATGTCTGTGTGTGAGTAAATATTTTGCAGTGATGATTGGACCAGTGAAAACATCATTTGCCTGCCTCAGCAACGACACATCATGGCCATGACATCAGAGCAGGGTGGCGGTGGCAGCTGACGTCTAACCTGCAGTATTTTAGTAGATTTTGTTACTGGAGTTCCTAAGTTTTATTTCTGCACGATTCCGTTTTATGGAGGTAGTGGCGGTACTGGACAACACGCTAATCAAAATCCCCATGCGAAAATCCCAAACATCATGTGAAAAGTAACAATATTAGAAGTCAATTGAGATATGTACATTCACGCACTGCTCCATCAACATGACAATAGTTGTATCTTTATTTGATTATACCTGAGTCAAAATGTGCGTTAAATGTATAAACGTAAAAAATTAGGAGATCTTTTCAAATATTCCCAGAGATTCCAAAGAGAGACCATTTGAAGGGACAATGTTCATAGTACGTTGCATGCAATGAATAAAAAGCAGGACTCAAGAAATCCTATATTTGGAATGACAGTGTTTCATAGACACTTATGATATAGTCGGGAACATGCAATGGACCTTGCTTTGATCAGAGATTTTGATGAGTTACTTTTCTGTTCACAGGTTGAAGATAGGCAGCCCTCTTCTCCCCCAGAGAGTTATATCACAGATCAGCCATCGTCAAAGCGAACCTATCCAGTTCATGTGTATCGTGCATGTCATGAACATGTATCCACTGAAATGCAATAAAATATGTGGAAACGAAACTGATGTGTTTCTGTATAGCAGCTCAGTATAAAATGTTTTGGTGTAACTACCACTTGTGTGAGTGAGTGAATGTGGGTCAATCCCCTTTGTCTGTGTGTCGGTTTGTGAGCATCCTCTGAGGAAATCCTGAAGTGATGCAGTCATTGACACGTCGGGGTGGGTAAGGTACTGTCACTCCTTTCAGTGTGGGGGGCCAAATGATTCACTACTAGACACTGCCACAGACACATCGAGTTTTTCCCACTTTTCATCCTCCCCCGGTTTAATAAGGATTGGATGATCACAATGTCTGCGTGATAAAATCTGCCGAAACGTAACTGATATGTTTTTGAAATGATCACATGTATGAGAGAGTGAATTTAGTCGAACCCATTTTGACTGTATGCGTTACCACACACACACACACACACACACCCAACCCCACCTTTAAGTCCGTTTCGTTTTATTGTCACTATGTAATAGGTAGTCTGTCATACAGACCCTGGAAACAAATAAACCCCATGTAGCCCATACATGGTAGAGACCCGCCTCCGTGGTGTAGTGGTTAGAGCGTCCAGCCTGAGAGCTTGAAGGTCGCTGAGTTCGATCCCGACCGCAGCGTCTTACCAAAAGACGCGTTAAAATATGGTACTTGTTGGTCCCTGCCTGGCACTCACTCGGCATTAATGGGTACAACAAGGACTGGTCGGTCGACTTCGAGTCAGTATACTGTGTCTGAGTGGGGTATTCATGCTTCACTGCGGCATAGTATCTCAGTGGGCTAGCACTATAAAACCAGCTTCAGTCTGGGCTAGTACATCCTTTTGCGCTTGGAGCTCGTCACTGGTGACACCAATCACCCTGCACCGATTGCCGCCATTGCTATCAACAAAAGCTGGCCCTGCCACCACCAATCTCCTCCTCCTCTCAAGCCCACAGCAAACAGGCCTTCAGATTCACCCACGGCCGGCCCGACCCGGCCTCTCGGCCAGGACACATGCAAGTGTTTCCCCTGAAAAACTGTTTACTACTCCCAGAGACTTTTCGTAAAACCTAAAACAATCGAGCTACTGCTCTCCATAAAATCATCTCTCATTTCTTTTCCTAATTTCTTGTATATATGTGCTTTATTTTCCATTTGTTTTGTATTTATTGCTGTACATAGTGTACATAATTCCAGCCCCTACTGCCCACCCATCCAAACAAACACCCTCCCCCATCCCCTCTACACTTCATCATGGCCTCCCCCTCCCTTACCCTCTCATTGTTTTCTACACCAACAAAAGACTTCCCACCCCTCCACCTCCCTACAGCAACTAAACCCCATCCCCATTAATTTTGGTAATGATTTCGACTCCCTCGTCCCACCCCAACAAACAACCAAACAACCACCCCCTCCCTCACAACCCCCAAGCAACAAAACTAAATCCACCAAACGCCCACACATTTCACCCACCGAAAACCAATCTAGCAAAAAAAAATGTGACAAAGCTACCCCACCTCAACCCCAAGAAAACAAACTTATCCTCCTTGCCTTTGCTACAAACACCCACACGCCACTCAACCACACTTAGTCAATAAACAAATTTGCCCTTTGCCTCAAACAACACAACATACAATACAAATGCATAAATAATTATGCGGACGAGGGCTTCAAAATCACATTCACAGACCAACAAGCACTAAACAACACCTTAAAAACACACTCATCGACGGCACACAGATAAGTTGGCGAGTATCCACGCTGGCAGACATCCATCCAAGACGTTATATACATAGACACAAGAGAAACTGAATCAGATATCAAACACTACATCAGCATCGTAAAACACCATCCCCAACCAACCAAAATCACCAACTATAGAACTATCAACAACAGACAACTCACCACCTACAACCCCAACACACAAAACAACCTTCCTCACATTTGACACCACTACACTCCCCACCCACATTACATTTGGGCCCTTACCACCACAAAGTACATCCAACACGCAAAACCCACAACAATGCAAATACTGTTTTTCATACTCCACACATCTCAGATTCATGCAAGCTCCCAATGTTATGCCCCAAAATGCGGGTCGGACACACACACTCTCGATGAATGTCGCCAACAGAAATACTGCATTCACTGCAACACACCCGGCCACACCGCTACACAAAATACATGCCCCATCAAGCAAAACACATCCTCAGGCTAAACAAACACATCAAAAACACTGACCTGCCAAAACCAGCACGCACACTACTTTCCATATCACTCCATCCTCTCAGCCAGCTCATCCTCCCCTATACCTCCTCCACCCCAACTCATCACTCTACTCACCCCCACCACCACCAAAACCCAAAACAACGGCCACCCCAACCAACCACCAAACCTCCAGGCCCCCCCACCCACCCACCCAAACATAACCCCCATCTTACCCACCCCAAGGCCGCCACAATCCGGCACCCCTAAACAACCCCCTCCTCCACACCCACCCCAACTGCCCGACCTAAACCATCCGTCCCAAACTGCAGCCCCCTCCAAACCCGTAAACCCCACCCCACCCTCCAAGCACCTCCCAACACAAACCACCAAGCCCCCCTACCCACAATTAAAACTCAAGCCCTCCCACCTAAAACACCCAGCACCTGCCCACAAACCCTCACTAACCCTCACACCTCAAAAAATTAAACCCAAACCTTAACAAAATAGTAGAACTCATCATCGCAGCCACAACAATGGAAAAACCAACAGTCAAAAACTATACACCCTTGCACATAAATCCAAACTCTACCACAAAGCTTGGCCAGTCTACTCATCGCCCTCAAAAACCCTTCTAAACAACAAACCTCTAAGCTACTTTAGCACCAAATCTTCATTCTTCAAAATTCATGCCCCACGCCATGGCATTTATAAAACCCATATTCCTAATTGCAGTAATCATGGCACTTATACAGTGGAACTGCAACAGTCTCAAGCTCATGAGCATGAGCTCAAGGCACTCATTGCCCATAACAAAATTTCACCCGACATCCTGGCTCTGCAAGAAACAAAATTATCCCCAAAACCGCCTTCAAATTACCAGGGCTACAATTTTATTCATAAAGACAGACCACGGCCAACTAACTGTCCGGCCCCCTGCAGGGGGACTGGGGATTTTCATTGCAGAGGAACTAAACTATAACATATTGCAAATTCCTGTACAAGATCTCGAAGTCCTGGCAATATCAACTAAAATGAATAACAAAGACTTAACCATCATTAATGTCTATAGAAGACCAAATTTCAAAATTACCACCCAAGATTTGGACATTCTGGCAAAATGTATAAGTCCCCAAACCATTATCCTCGGTGACTTTAATGCACACCACCCACTGTGGGGCACAAGACCCTATACTGATTCAAATGGCACCCACCTTACTGACTGGCTAAGCACACACAAGCCTTAACTCACTCAAGCGACAATCAACCCACCCGCTACCCCCTCTCCCATCTACACTCACCCACAGCCATCGACATTACTCTCACCACACCCAAAATTACACAAGCTTGTATATGGGAGGTCCACGATGACACCTGGGGCAGTGACCACTGTCCCATCAAAATCACAATCACATCACACATACCCACCCACACCCCACCACCCCACCACAGCCACCCACTGAACTAAGATTCAACATTAAAAAAGCAAATTGGAACAAATTCTCAGCCGCTTTTGTAAACAAATGAGACACCACAGCCATTTTCAACACAGACATAAACACTTTCAACACAAAACCTGACTAATGCCATACTAGACATCTCAGAAAATGCATTCCAACTTTTCGATATAACCCTGCACAAAAACAGTCCCTGGTGGAGCACAGAAATCATCAAAGCCAGAAGGCAAGAAAAAGGCCCTAAATCAATCCAAGAGGGACCGTTCGAAATTACACTTGGCAAAACAACTAAGAAATAAAACTAAAAAATTAATTGAGGGCGGCAAAAATGACCACTGGAAACAATTCTGTTCCACCCTTTAAGCTAACAAATCGAAACTCTAGAACTATGTGGAAAAAATCTAATGCCATTAAGGGCATTTCCAAAAAAAAACTATTTATCCAAACCTTCCGGACCTAGCCACAAACAAAGACAGAGCTAATGCATTTGCTGCCCACCTCTCGGCTGTCAGTAGCTCCACCAACTACCCACCTTCTTTTCAAAACACCATTTCAAGCAGCCCCCATACACCCCACAACCACCACACACAGATCTACCTATAAACAAAATAATAAATATACACGAACTCCAATCTGCACTCAGAAACAAACAGACAGCCTCAGCCCCGGGTCCAGATACCATTACATACACTATACTCAACAAATTAACACCTAACATGCAAAACTTAACACTTACCCTCTTTAATCATATCTGGACCTCAGGTACTATCCCAAACTCATGGAAAACAGCCAAGGTGGTGCCAGTTCTCAAACCAGGGAAACCTAGAAATGAGCCTGATTCTTATCGCCCTATCTCCCTCACCTCTCATCTATGTAAAACTTTAGAAAGCATTATTAACAACAGGCTCAAACACCTTATATACACAAAAAATCTAATTAAGGAGGACCAGAGCGGCTTTACTCCAAACAGGCAAACTTTAGACCATATTTTACATTTGGAACAAGACATCAAGGTAGCCCATGCACAAAAACAATACACTATGGCCATTTTCATCGACTTTAGTAAAGCATTTGATATGGTTTGGCAAAACAGCCTCATACAAAAACTCCAAAAATATGCCATTAACGGCAGAATTCTAAATTTCATCCACTCTTTCCTTAATAATAGACAGATAATCCTCAAATCTCACAACACCCTCTCGGACCCCCATCCCCTAGAACATGGGACCCCCCAGGGCAGCATATTATCACCAACACTTTTTAATTTCATGATCAACGACATATTCCCAGATAAATGGCCTGAAATTTCAAAAGCCAAATTTACCCGGCGATATTTCCTTCTGGACTTCTTCCGCTTCGGTCAAACAAGTCTCTACAAAATGCCAAAAATGCTTAACCATATTCAAAATTGGGCCCAACAGTGGGGTTCCTCATTAATGTTAAAAAACCGTGGGCATACTCTTCAAAACACAAAGAATGCAAAATTTTACACCCAAACTGCACCTAAATAACCAAAAAATTGAATTAAAAGGAAGCAAAATTCCTAGGAGTAACCTTTGACCAACATATGTCATGGACACCCCACATTCATAACCTGGTCAATTCTTGTCAAAAGATCTCAACTTAATGAGAGCCATCATGCACAAACTGGAAGCCAACAAACACACACTTATTAACATATACAAAACGCTCATTCTGCCTAAACTGGACTCGCGCGCCCCATTCTCCACTCCCTCTCCTCCTGTAACCTCAAAAATAAACTCCATCCAATATAAAGCCCTAAAATTAGCCCTAGGCATGAGGACTGGTACCTCCCTAAACACATTACTTCTACTCTCTCAGGCACCACTTCATTCACACAAAGAATCAACCAAACAACACTCACTTACTGGGCTGGGGCCCAACATTTACCCACTATTTAAACTCGTCACACATAAATACACCAACATAAAAAATCAACACTCAAGAAATTCAAATTAAATCCCCTAAAGCTCCATGCCTCACCCACCTCCATAAACTACTACAGGCACAACAGCTAAAGCGACATACAACATACACCTCCCATTACAAGCTACATTCACGACATACCCCCACCCACCACAGACACCACCCTAGACAACATTCTCCAGCAGTTACCAAAAACACCAACAAACCCACCATAACAAACATCACAAACAACTATATCAACAATAACTACCCAACACACACCCATATATATACAGGCGCCTCAATCAGCCCCAAACAAAACAACTGGTATAGGCATACATGTCCAACAAACCCCCATTACAACCAACCTGCACTATACAAACCACACCTCAATACATACAGCAGAACTAACAGCTATCCTCACTGCACTCCACCTAATACCTACCCTCCCACAAACTAACTTCCTAATTCTCTCCGACTCACTAAACTCCATTAGGCAAATACATGTACATAACAAATTACTCCAAATCTAAGCCCTGATCTCATTCATAATATCACAATCCAAACCGACTCACTTAAGCGAGCAAATAAAACATTACTTTCACCTGGATACCAGGCCATTCAAACATATTAGGAAACGACACAGCAGATACAGCAGCCAAATTAGCAACAACACACAAATCACCAAATATAAACTTTCATACATCCAAAACAGAAACTAAACAACTCATTAAATCAAATATTCTTCATACTGACTTTCAACACAACATAAACAATAACAAATCAACATGGGTTACTTCCATTATAAAATCACCCTTAAGGAAAATCCTACATTTTTCAAACATTAAAAATATTGACACGGCCATAAACAGACTCATCACACAAATCCACAAACCTCAACCACACACTTTACAAACAAAATAGACATGCAGATGGACTATGCACACACTGTAATACCCAAAGAGACATAAATCCACATACTCATACACTGCCATCTACAAAGAGACAAACATTAAGCAACTACAAAACAGCATTCTCTCTAAATATCACAATAACATCCACTACTCCTCAACCCACACAGCCCAACAAAGTATCTTCCAACGCCCTAACATTATTTCCAAAACTCAAACCTTCTAAAAGAATTTAGAACTCATTAAATAAGCTACAGCCACTTCTCTCACCTCCCACTCACTGCAACATTCAGGCCAGCCGTTCAAACCTCAGTTATCCATTCTGCCCCTACAACTTTAGACACGGCTCTCAATTTCATTTTATCCATACTCTTCACGCCACGCTCGCTCTCCCCTCTCGCTAATGTAAACAGCCCGTCATAAGCCCATACTGCCAAGGTCAAGGTCACTCGCCAGCCAGCTCACTACTACCGCTTGTCCCTCAGCCCGGCCTATGCCTCATTGCGCCTCCCTTGCTCCCCTCAGCCCCGCCTCTACCCGTCCAGCTTAACACCTTTTTATTCATTCTTTATATGGCCCCTTATATAGCTTATGCAGCTTAACTGCATTTAAATATCTGCCCCTATGCTATACATGTTCAATATTCACCCCGTCCCCACCCCTTAGGCCCCTTTTATGTCACCTATCGTTTATTTCAACTCTATCTCTTACTTATTAACAATCACTACTCCTATTTATCCCTCCTTTTTTCCTTCTTTTAACTTGGCTTTTTATTATTTTTATCTCTATTTATGGTTATAAAAGTTTTTTTTCCAAATCCAACTTAGGTTTAATGCCCCAGCATTTATATTTTTAGGTAAGGTGGTTTATCCCTTATTAACATTTATTACTTATTACATTGGCTCCCACCTACCCCGTCGTCAGCGAAATTGGCTTACGCCAGCCACATCACCTCACAAGGTAGAGATGTGTGGCAAGTCTATATTACCAGTTTCAGGGTCTGTACAAATCTGCTGAATTCACAGAATCCATGCAGAGACAGAGCCTGTAATTATGGAGTTAATTTCAAAGTTGTCATCTGTGTTTAGTATAGAAGTACATGGAGAGGTTCCCAAACCACTCCCCAACCTCAGGAGTCAAGACCTTCTGTTCCTTCGCTGTCCCCGATTCTATAGTGCTCCGACAACAGGTGTAATTACATTGAAGACAGAGTGATATAGAAAGTCTCTATATTCTTCAGTTGTTTCATTCTTTTTCTGGTAGGGGCGGTGGTGTAGCCTGGTGGTTAAAGCTCGCTCGTCATACCGAAGACCCGGGTTCGATTCCCCACATGGATACAATGTGTGAAGCCCATTTCTGGTGTCTCCCGCCTTGATATTGCTGGAATATTGCTAAAGCGGCGTAAAACCAAAACTTACTCACTCCTTCTCAGGTAAGAAGTGGGATTGACAATTAAACGAAAATTGCAGTTAAGGGTCTTTGGAGAGAGGAACTGGGCGCAGTAGGTATTTCTAGCACACACACATTTACTGGCATGTCAGTGATGGGTGATAAGAATCTGTAATTGTGTTGTGAAATTCCAAACAATTATAGCCAATTATAGCCCTGCAGATTTGTTTTGTCTCTGAAAAAGAAGAACGGCTCTTTTTCTTCATACTTTATGACCATAATTTAGAAACCATTAATTGTAGCAAAACAACAACTGGTTACATTGTCTGTTGTAATGTCAGGTATTTCCACCTTACCTGAGTCCAATAGCTGCAATATTATTCACTCATGGTCTTTTTCAAATATCTTTTGATGGCTTTGTTTGTTATTTTGTCATACTGGGTGTCAGTGGGTTGTGTTTTACCCCGCTTTTAACAATATTCCAGCAATATCACGGTAGGGGACACCAGAACTGGGCTTCACACATTAATTGTGACCGTGTGGGGAATCGAACATGTCACAAGCGAACGCTATCCCCACAGGGCTTCCCCACCGCCCCTCATATGAAACAAACGGGTTTGAGGTTGTCTTCATGCAGTAATCCATGCTTGTCGTAAGAGGCGACTAACGGGATTGGGTGGTCAGTCTCGCTGACTTGTTGACACATGTCATCGTATCCCAGTTGCGTAGATCGATGCTCATGCTGTTGATCACTGGATTGTCTGGCCCAGACTCGATTGTTTACAGACCGCCGCCACATAGTTGGAATATTGCTGAGTGCTGCGTAAAACTGACATGCGCAGGGTACGGATGAAACCAGTCGTTAGCGTCACGTAATGCTATGACGATCTCGCGAGATTTATGACGTCGCTATGACGACAGTTTCACTTCTGATGCCGCCATTTTGACGCTATCATACTTCTGTGATATTGCTGAATTTCTGCTGACATTTGCCTCACGATCTGCTCATCACCAGTTATTGTCACTATGTACTCCTACACCCAAGGTATTTCTTTATGTCTACACTACTTACTGTTGCCTTTTTGCTTTCTTTTATGACTTATTTACTTTATTCATCCTGGTGTAGGGAAACGAAGAAACTTCCAGAACATCCTGCCAGCTGCCATTAAATACTGACTTGTCCTAGAATCTTTCTCACATTAATTGAGGCCTCTCAACCATTCAGAGTGTTTACAAGTTGACACCTGCAGTTTACGGGTCCCCAGACCCGGAAGTAGAAATGTATTATTCTTTATAGCTCGCGCTTTTTGCGAAGCAAGCGCTCAAAGGCGCATTTGCTACCTTCGGCAGTAAGTGACGCGCGCAGCGCGTCATATATATATAGAAGCACGCGAGAGCGGGCTGATCTCCGTTAGGAGACATTTTAGACGAAATTAGAGGTCATTTTCGTGTTTTACTGGCAAAAGTTTAATTTAAAACTTCGTCTGAAAGACGATAGTTTTAAACACGAATTTTAGTAATGCTCCAAAACATCAATCCAATCGTTAGTAATCAAGGGGAAATCCCGATGACGTTCCTTTTATCTGATTGGTCAATTGTGGACGCACGTGTCGAATGTTCCGAATAAGGTAGTCGGTTACTACGACTGCCACAACTTGTGACAGTGAATCATAGTAAGGAATTTGTGAATGTAGAGAATGGTGCGTGCATTCTTAAAATTGAGAGTACGTGGAGAGCGGTGAAAGCGTCCCTGCCCAGGTATGGAACTACGAAAGGATTGTATGATAGTTATTTTGTGGAATACATTGTGAGGAAGAAATATTTACGTTGTTCTGATGATCCTTTCGTTACATTTCTTACTTTTATCCGCCGTGTATTTGACCCCCAAAAAACCCATGAATATTTTAAAATGGTTGAAAATGAAAATAAAGAAAATGCCATGCAAAATGAAAGCACAGATGAATTTAATTCAAGTGCAGATTTGTTCTTATGGAGTAAGTCAATTCAGGGGCAGATTTGTTCTTGTAATGTAAAGGTAAGTGAAGCGTTTCGATATTTGTTTTCTTGCTGTGCTACATATCATGTAAACTTACCTGTTTTGTTTATTGTAAATGAAAATGGAAAAAGAAGGATACAATGAAGCATCTAAGGGCTAAAATGTTTCATTTCAACGAAACAATACATTACTGGGGTATTTTTACGTCAGCGTCTTCTTAAAATATGAATAAACATTGCAATTGACAAACCCAGAAAAAAATACAAACCCTAAAACATTGTTGAGGAACGATGGGCTAGAGAAGATTATCGATTACTATCCAAGGGCAATTTTATGGGCCAAAACAAGGCCTAAACAGCGATGTTGTTATTCGCTGGAGCAAACAAAAAATGGCGTCAGCGTTAGTGCTCGCTTCGATGTAAATATGGCTTCTGCGCATGTCTGTAGCGAAACTTCCGGGGACCCGTAAAGTGCAGTTTACCCTACAACAGGAATACAACGTCCGCTTCACACAATTATATAAAATGAGCAGTTTACTCTCATAACTGGTGGTTAATGAGGTTTTATTGTATGGATACCCATGTCGATATTCTGCAGGTTTCACAGGGCTTGAACAAACCTGAAATTTGAAAATGCCTAATTGCCAGTGATTTGCCCTAAAAGGCCCTATATTTAGCAAAACGTGTCAACTTTTAATAAACTACTTATACAAATGTGTTAAATAATCGCGAAGCAAAACTTTCCCAGTACAGGGATGTAACTAAGAGTTATTTCCCTCTTATGGTCGTTCCGCATTTGACCAACCTTGAGTGTCTTCAACTATTGATTTCTTATGGGTTTCTATAGTTCCTTAAATTATTGACTGGGTCTTGAAAAGCCCCTAAAAGGCCATAACTTCGATTGTTCAAAACTGTAGGAACCCTGTTCTGTTTTCTACAGCTGTCCTGGTACATTGCCAGTCTTGACATGACTGCTCAGATAAGGCAATATAGTCAGCATGTTGATAAGGATATGAACATGGGTGTCCCAATTCCGGTTGTCTAAGGATGCCAGTCCGTTATTTAGGAGTTATTTATATTATTTAGAAATTATCATTTAAAACTATTAATTATTACCTCATCGTGTCCCAATAGCGTAGATCTATGTTCATGCTGTTGACCACTGGATTGTTTGGTCTAGACTTGATTATTTACAGACTGCCGCCATATAGTTAAAATATTGCTAAGTGCGGCGTAAAACTAAACTCACTCATTAATTATTACCTTAGAGAATTGTGCCTGTCGAGCAGTATGTGAACTGTGGTTACTCACATGATGCTTTTACGAGTGCTTCTAAAACCAGGTTGAACGGGCTAAACAACAGTCCGTGACGACCAGGTATCAAGAAAACATGAACAATGTCAACATGCTTCAGCACGTCTTATTGTGATATATTGTATACATTATATACATTATGGCCAACAGTATTCACAGAATTTACCCCCTGGTTGCTTGTCTTAGCGACAGGTGACTTGCGATAGAGAGACAAACATATGGAATTGTGGTGGTGAATTCTAAAGGTGCTCCCAACCTACTACATACATGTTATTGATACAAATAAATACAAGAACTTTCTTCTGATCTGTATCGTAAATCACTGGGCAAAGAGCACATGGTTTGGGCCATTGGTAGACCAATGGTGTACCAAAATAACCTGTTTAATTATGTGAGCATGATTTTGTTTTATACATGATGACAGCACCATTTTACGTACACGTGCTGCTACTAAGGGAACATTAACTCATTTAAGGCTTGGGGTAATATTATCTTGACATCAACCAAACATACCTTTATGTATGCACTGATACATAGACAAAATAAAAGGGTCAAATTTGCACTGTACATGCTTGTTTGTTATAACGTAATTAAATAAAATGAATAATTATATAGATAAACTAAATAATTGTATATATCTGCAAAGTAT